GAGGACTCTGAGCTCTGTAGATAAAAACGACAAATTCTTAAGGTAAAAAAAAAACATGATTTTCATTTTCAGGTGATTATACACTAACATTAATATAAGAAGATAAGATAAGATGTACCGTTATTGATTCCCCATAGGAGAAATTCAAATTAGACACAGCAACATAGGGGTATGTGGTGCAAAGAGTACAGAAGTGAAAATACAATAAGAATCACAAAATAAGAATATTACAAAATATAATAGAAATAATAGACCTTTAAATGAAAAGTATATGCAATATGCAAGTAAAATGGTGTGCAAAATATTTTGAGCAGCTTTGACTAAAAAAACTAAACTGTACATGTGCAACTTAAATATAAATAGTTTGTGCGTCGCAGGTTGGGGTTGAACCGGTCTTAGTCAGCGGGTCAGTGAGGGTTGGAGGCACTGGGTGCTGTGGCATTGTGGAGTCTGATGGCAGATGGTACAAACAAGCCTCCAAACCACTTTGAGGCTCAAGGCTGGGTCAGTCTGTGGCTGAAAGTGAGCGGAGCGGATGACAGGGGTTGTCCATGATGGCTTTCAGCTTCCCTTTTATCCTCTTCTCAGTCAGAGTCTCTACACTGACAAGCTCCATTCCCACCACCGAGCTAGCCTTCTTCACCAGCTTGCTCAGTTTGTTGGCAGTTTGAAGTCCGGATGCTTCCTCCCCAGCACACCACAGCAAAGAAGATGACACTGGCCACTACAGACTGGTAGAACATCTGTAATATCCAAGTGTACACGTTGAAGGACCTGAGCCTCCTCAGAAAGAACAGCCTGCTCTGTCCTTTCTTGTAGAGGGCCTCAGTGTGGTCCGCCCAGTCCAGTTTTTGTTGAGTGTCACTCCCAGGAACTATTTATTTTACATATACATTTCTGCCAATAGATCCACCTAAATGTTACACAATGGACCTTTATTATTGAAATTGTAGCAGATTAATCTTTTGATCGATAATTTGAATCAGCAGGGATTTCATGCATGACACTGACACTGATATTTTATCCAGTTGATGAAAACATCTTCATCCTTTGGTGCAATTAAACATACACCCTATTGTTGTCACCAACTACACCAGGGAATTCAGTAATGATCATGAAATCGGCTGGTGATTATTTCATGTACACGTAATGAAATGTCGAACGAAGTGAGAAATGGAGAGCACATTTGTAATGTGGTGAGTGCTGCAAACTACATTTTTATAGTGTCTGTATTTGACACCGTGGTAAGAATATTTTTATAAAAATGTCTACTGCAGCTTTAAGATGTTTAGTGAATATTGCCTCAAAGAGATTGTATTTTGTGTAACTGCTGTATGACTGAAGTGATGTTTTTTCTCTACATTTCATCAGTCAGGATATGTCTGTAAGGATGGAAATGGATATCACTGGAGTGTCCAGGGCACACGTCTCCATTCTTCCTACAGCTGAGATCAAAGCTACATTGAAACCAGAAGCAGAGAGACCTCGCTGTGCCAGCACCCCGTGTTCACCCATTAGAGGGACTGTTGCAGGATACCAGATCCTCCACATGGACTCAAATTATCTGGTAGGCTTCACCACTGGTGAGGAGCTGCTTAAACTGGCCCACAAGTGGTCAGAAGGCACTCCAGAGAAGGGCTGTGTATCAGAGGCAGTGGCCAGCTCCATCCAGAGCTCTGTCCCAAAGTCTGTGGACTTGGGCATCCACCGGTCTTCACGAATCTTCAAAGGAAAAAGTCGCTACTACCAACCCTACGACATTCCTGCTTCCAACGGGCAGAGACGAAGGCGTATGCCCAGCTCGAGTGACACCTTCCTCAGGTCCCTGGCCCATGGGGAGCCTGGGGGGAGTCTGCATGCTCCACTACCCCTGTGTCTGCTTAAAGGGAAGAGGGCCCAGTCCAAGTCTCTGGACTACCTTAATCTGGACAAAATAAGTACTAAAGAGTCATCAGACACTGAGGTGTTACAGTACCAACTGCAGCATCTCACCCTACGAGGAGAGCGCATGTTTACCAGAAACAAGACATGAAAGCCCTGTGGAAGGCCTTTTTTAGGTGTCTTTCACTCTCCTGGGGATTTAGGTGCTATTTCCAGCTTGGTTTCTTTCTACTCAGATTATAAGCAGTTCTTTAAAAGACAGTCTGATAATCTTGTTATATTATTAACTGGGGGTTTTACCTTGTACTGTACACATAATGTTGTGAAGAAGAAATCCTTAAATTACTCCCCACATTGTGATGAGGTTGTTGAGGTTAACAAATGTGAATTATATAAATTTAGCAATAACAGGTAAACCTATTTATTGACAGCGTTGTGTGTTTGTACTGGTCAGAGATGCACTGATACATCAGTCTACAGCTGATAAAAGCACATATACTGTATTGGCTTTAAAATGCACCATTGTTATCAGTCCAATCCTTTTTACTGCTTATCTGTGAGGAGTTGTGTTAGTAGAAGTTTTGTCAGATTTGATTCAGATAATGGCACTGCATACAACTGTCAGATTAGCAAGATAATAATTTTATAATGTTGCTAATTAATTGATTTATTTCTGTTTTGTTGCTGTCATTTAATAACACTGTTTGAATCTCTCATTTACCATAAGATGGGCATGTGTGAAATAAACATTACTCCATTCAGAATTTGTTTATTAAAGAATGGGTAAAGATATGTTTGGTCCATCTTATAACAATACTCACATGCCATATACACATTTAAAGAGTTTGGTTGCTGTAATCATTCCTTCTGTCCATACTGGTGCTTAAGTGATCCCTCCCCTCTTTGGCAAAGCCAAGGCCAGCACTGTAAACAGGAAAGTCTGTGACTTCTTGAGTGAGTGAGTGACGCGCTTAATTGGTCGAGAGAGGGAGTTTTGGTCTGTTGGAATGAATAGGCGCGAACATTAGTTGTGTACCAGATTCTTTGAGTATAGGCGCATCCCTCTAAAGTTATTGCTATTGGCTTTATCCTTTGCTCGTAGGCCGAACCTCTGTCTCACCTTGGGCCCTTTTCCACCAAATTTGCTTGGGTTCTTGACTCAGTTCCATTCAAGGTTCTTGGAGTCTTGGTGCTATCTGATGAACTTGCCTTTATGTCCACCAGTTTTGAACCATAGTAATCAGATGCATCATCAACAGAGGGTGTTTTACAATGCACAAAGACCTGTAGAATACGACACACCCACTTTGATTCCCAAGGAAAACCTGCTATTTTGGTTTCCAACTGGGAACCAACTTTTCAGTTTCTGGACCTATTTATTTTTTGTAAAAATGTTAAGAAAGGTTTAAAACTAGTACAGTCGGCTCCCAAAAACTCCTCTTCAATTTGTGCTGGCACTAAAACAATGCCATAGCTGTGCCTATACTCAGAGAATCTGGGGGTATGGGCCATAACTACTATATATTTTATATATATGACTATTGCTACCCACAAACACACCTGCCTGAGAAATCGTATGTGCACAAACAGTGCAAGTGAGTGCATAACTATGATGCAGAGTTAAGCAGCATAGTTATAATTAGAATAAGTTCTCTTTCAAATCAAACGTTTTAGTATTAGTTATATGAGTTGAAAGGTTTGTTCTTGCAACTGCATTTATCTTTTTTTTTTTTACGCTAACGTAGCTTAACCCAGTCATTGTTCTGCACTTTGGTGCACTTTAAAAATTAACATTACTATGACCACTACAGAAAAATAGTAGGAAAATACAGGTATTCAGATTATAGATACTACCGCTGACACGGTCCAGCCATATATTTTTATGCCTTTAATGGTTTGTGACAGCCGAAGATAGATAAAGGGAGGGAGGGGACAATATGCAGCAAAGGGTTACTGGTTGGAACCAAATCTGTGCTGCTGTGGTAAGAGCTCAGCCTCAGTACATGGGGTGCAAACGCTACCATATGGGCTACTTCATATTTCTTTTTCAGTGTGACATGCACAACCCAGAAAGATATGTGTGGAGTAGCTGTTTATTGTGGGCAAATATGGTTGGAAATATGTTGGCTTTAGAAAAAAACAAATTGGTGCATCTCTAGTTTTGTACATTGACTATGAGTGCACAACTGTATGTACATTCGTGGCCAAAAGTTTTGAAAATGACACAAATTAATTATCACAAAGTCTGCTGCTTCAGTTTTTATAATGGCAATTTGCATATACTCCAGAATGTTATGAGGAGTGATCAGCTCAACTGCAATTAATTGCAAAGTCCCTCTTTGCCTTAAAAATGAACTTTATCCCCAAAAAAACAATCCTGCCACGTGTCGAAGTATCTTGAGCAAGATACTGAACCCCAATGCTCCCGATGCATAGACACGGTGTGTGAATGAGTGGAAAGGGGTGAATGTGGCACGTAGGTGTAAAGCGCTTATTGAGTGGTCGGAAGACTAAAGGCTATACAGTACAGGTCCATTTACCATTTACCATTTACCACAAATGTGCATAAAGGAAGGAGTCTGAAATACTTTCTGAATGCAATTAGTAGTTGAAACAGGTTCAATATGCGACCAAACAAAACTGTTAACAGAATGTTCTGTTTCCATGGACAATGTGGCAACCCATTATTGTTTGTATCTGTACCCTCAGCAATCAACAGTTGATCAGAAACATGTGTCCATTTATGCAACTTATATGTACACTGCACTGATATCATGTATTTGTTTGTATTCTCTGTACTTTTCTAGTATCCGGAGATGACTCGCTCTTATGGATCATGGACAATTCGAGTCAATGAAGACAGGGGCTTTTTATACTGAACTTTCCACTCTTCAGCATGGATTTACCAAGAATGATGTAGACTCAGGACTCATTCCTCCAGCCTCAACGCCAAATGAGCTGTCTCAAGTAAGGTCTTCATGTCATCATTCACTCATCACTACTATAGTGTAGTTGTTGCTACTGTTGTTGCTGTCACTTGTCTGTTGGTCTGTCTCTCTCTCTCTCTCTCTCTCTCTTTCTTCTCTCTGTCTTCCCTCTCTGTCTCTACCAGTTGGGGGGTGAGCCAATCTGGTCAGAAGACGACCACCCACCTTTTTAGAGCCGAAGGTCTGTCCTAGGTTTCTGCTGTTAACAGGCATTTTTCCTTGCCCCGTTGCAAGTGCTTGATCATGGTTACTTTTGGTCTCTGTAAGTTTATTAAGGGAGTTTGGTCTAACCTGCTAACCATTTGAAAAGTGTCCTGAATAACTTCTGTTTAATGAATTGGCACTATACAAATAAATTGAATTGAATTAAATTAAGCTAGAAATTCTGATTTGAAATAAACTTTGACTTTATTATCAGTTGTGATGGGCAAATTTTTTAGTATTTGAATCAGAAGTTCTTCAAAGAAAACTGTAACTTGTTTTAGAAGTGCATGCAAATGTTATTACTTAACTAAGCAAAATTAAAACATACGAATGTTCCTACACTGAATTAAACTTACCCTCCTTTTCAGTTCGCGAGAGAAGAGATAGGACTGTCGGATCAGCAATAGGGACGGAGAATATCCTTGGGCTTTGTACAGTTTTCTAAACCATTGTGGGTTAGAAGAGTTGGAACATAGTAAGGTGAAGTCCTGACTCATCTAGGTTTTGTCTTTCAACTGAAGATGTTTAAGTGAGTTTGAAATTATGTGGTGGTGTATGCTTAGGAGGTGAGTTTGAGAGGTCATCAAACAAAAGTGTCTTTAAAAAGAAAACAGGATAGATTGGTAGTACACAGTAGGTAATAATGTAATCACATTTTGGTGCAAGATGTGGGGTAGTTATAAGCATTTATTTTTTAAATTGTATTGTTCTCTTTCTTTCTCTGGAATTTAATTGATTTAAAATGAAACCAGCTATAGTTATGTTTATCAGTGGTCTTCAAGTGGCTGTCCCAGCATTGCATTGAGAAAGAGTTGGGATACACCCTTAGCAAGGGTAAACACATGTAGACCGACAAAACATATTTATACTGTGTCAATTTACAGATCCACAATCACAGGGAGAAATCCAACAGACACGATTAGACATAATACATAGATCTTACTTGTAGGTCGGTTAGCTACGTCACAATCGCCATTCATATTTTCACCTGTCAAGACTGCCTGTAAAAAATACATGTAAACTGAGTGGCTTTTTTTCTGGTTAAACTTAATATAATGTTTTACATAATACATTTGTTTATGATAACATGGGGAAAGTTTGTTTTTTGTCTCCAAGGTACTTAAAAATGTTGAGAGGCTTCCCCAGTTTACTGTATTTTTTTACAGGCTAGTCTTCCCTATCCAGTATGGTGTCAACGTTGACGTAGCGATCCAATGTGGTGTCTATGTATGTATGTCTGTGGACAGCAGAAGAAACGAAGAATGTAAACACAGCTCGAATGCAGTAGGTTTTAAACCCAGTGCTATGACTTTCTTGGATCTTGTCGTCATTAAAGTTGCCAGGCAAAAAGAGAATTTTATTTTTATCACCAAGAATTGTATTTATTTGTTGTAGTGGTTGGTGTCGTTTTATTTGGTAAGTGGCAGTCTATGTGTTTTGCTCTATAACGGGAGTAATTATAGATAGATGCAGGCAGTGCGGTTGCGCTGGGACCTCATGGGTAGGGAGAGAGAGTGACCTTGGAAATATACCTGTGTGGTTCAAAGAAGAACTAACTAACTATGTTAAAATAAAATGATGTCATATATATCCCTCCAAAAAAAGGAAAACTCATCTCCATATCATTTCTTCCTTTTTTCTTTCCATTCTATAACAAAAATGTGTTCAACAATAAACCATAAAACTATAAATCAACTATAAAAAAAACCTACTAATTAATACATAACTTAAATATTATTTTATTTTGATATTATTGTCATATACAGATATTAAATATTATTTGCTGGGTAATATGTATTTTGATGTTTCTAATGTGTCTTTTTGATCATGTGATGACACAAATGCAATAATAGTGTGCTCTGCGCCCGCCGTAACTACCTTACGCCACTGTTCTGTAAGTTACATTTTTCTTTTCTTCCAGATGGGGCTGCTGAGGAAGCAGGCCTGATGGTGGGTGACTATGCCTAGCTGTCAATGGAACTGATGTCACCAGCATTCTGCATTCTGAAGCTGCCAATTTGGCCAGGCAAGGTATGCTGTTTCCAGGTCTGATAATGGCTTGTAATCAGGCCGCACACTTATAAATC